ATATGTACATATATTGTGTGGAGAATACTCCAAAAGAAAAATAATCGACTCGATCGAGCCAGTGTCCTCTGTCTGAACTGTTCGTGCTCACTTTTGTCTGTTCGCATAAAATTAGTATAGTATGTTCGCTTTAGTACTTATATATCGTCCCATTCCCGCAAAAAAAAAAAACTTCTCCTCGTAAAATTACATCTTTGGACATACGATCATTTCGCGGGAATGCGACAATATAGTAGCTTTTGCGGAAAGAAAGATGGACATAGCTTATTCAACTCAGCTCGTCAACCTGATCAGAAATCGATAACTTGTCCCGTTATTTGGTTATCGGTTAAATACATTATCGAAAATCAGTAATAAATTTATATCTGTTAGAGCCTCCAAATTATAAATGTAGATTTATATGTATTATATAAAATTTCGAATTTTGTTAAAATTTACCCCCCACACTTGTATAAACTCCATCATCCTCATATTTTTAAAAGGCGTATTTCAAATACTAGAGACTTATGCTGTGGCAAATGCTGGCATATCTATGTTATAATCATAGTCATAAAGATAATCCACTAACAAGAAGAGTTATTAAACAATTAAGTTCCCAGTCAATGCGTGTTTATGCGTGCGTGCGTATGCCTGTGAGTGTGCGTGTGTGTGGATGTGTAAAAATTTATTGAAATATCAGTGGTTCGAAGGGTTCAGGGGATATCGTAGTCGAGCAGTCTCGACTAGAGCTTTCTTACTTGTCTTAAATATATTTGACTATATTAAACGTATATCTGACAGCTAGTCTTAGTATTAGTCTTAAAATTAAATAAAGAAAATTTAAAGAGAGAAAAAGAAGAGAGAAAGGGAGTGAGAGAGAGAGAGGGAGAGAGACTATCGTGATTCATTCCAAATCCAAGTGCTTTCTATGCAAATCTCAAACTTTTTGCCTGCCAAACTTGCGAGTCATTAATGACGCGCATAAACTTGACAAAAACTTGAGCTGCACATTAAAGCCTCTGCCCAGCAAGGGCATGTGTGTGTGTGTGTGTGTGTTTGTGAGTGGGGGGGGGCGAAAAGTGGAAATAAAGTTGTGAAATATACATCGTAGATAATAGTATAGCAACACGTTTAACGTTTAACTAGGAGTTAGCGTGGCACAGCTTGAGGCTGGATGGCAGCACTTAATAGAGCGCTGACACTTAACCGGGGAGTCGTCCGGTTCATTCTAGTTGTTGTCGTGCTGTGGAAACCGCAGCTAAATGAGCTGCTCTAACTACACGCTGCTTGGCCAAGACTGTGGCTGTGCTTGCTGCTCTTGTTGTTGTTGTTTTCGTTTCTTTGCGAAGCATTTTGCAGCATCATTTGGCGCCAACCACTCAACCACCCCCCACACACAGAGAGAGAAAGAGAGAGAGAGAGAGATGGCGAGAGAGAGAGAGAGAGAGAGCCTCAGGCCAATGTAGAGCAAGTCGCTTATGATGCCACTCGACTGTGTCGTGGAGTTTCAGCTCAACTGTCAGCCATATTTTATGCTTAAAATGTCTAAAGTAATTTCATTGTACTTAAGCGCATTTTGTTGCTCTTAAGAGGGGCAGCTGGGGGATATGGATGCTTTGCCTTCTACTGCCTTGTCTCACTTGGCTGACCACTGAGACACGCCCACCCATCCACCTTCTCCCACAACGAAACAGCAGCAAAAAGTTGCCTCAGCTCTGCTCCATTTTCCGGCCAGGCAGGGCCAGGACTCCATAATTTAGTATATTAAAATTGAATTATTTGCCAAGTGCTTAGGCGCATTAAAATGTTCCGAGTGTTCCATTTGCGACAAAAATGAGCCTCTGGCACAACTCTTTAAGTTCCGCAGCTCGATTTGTCTTCGGCTTGCAGTGCCTAGAATTACCACAGATCATCTCAAATGCCAACGTTCCGCCCAGCCTCGCCCCGCCCCCATTTAACGAGCGGCAACTCTTTAACAACTTTGTTGTCTTTAAGAGCTGCACTCAAACAGCTCTCAGCTTATGGCAACATCTTAGCGCAATATCTTCAGCATTTCCTCTTTTCCTCCCCAGTTTTATGTAACCACAAAATAGCGCAGGAATCTTTGATTTTTGTGTGCTGCTCTTTACTAGCTGCAGCCACCACAATGATGTGCATTATCAGGCCAATCAACTGTTTGGCACTTCAAGTTTTATCACGACGCGCGTAAAACAAGGAAACGTGTTAAGACAAGCGGAAACATGTAGCAAGCGTGTCGAGCACTCAGTTGACAGAGCTACATATATCTGTCTCATTGATTTGCAGTCGGACAAGGTTGATATTGATTTATGATTGATCCATGCCGAGCTCTGCTGTAAGAACTACAACTATTTATGCTGGCTCTGCGTGTTTTTAGAAGGGAAGAATTAATTAGAATCACTGACCGTTACGATTATAGTTTTTATAGAAAAATAAATAAAAAATAAGAATAATTTTTTGAGTTGCTTAAAAATAAATATTTTGAATTATTAAAATTTCTGTATATGAAACCTTGCAAAAATAATAATTACGAATAAATTTGTATATAAAAATCAAATCATAAGTCTTATTTTCAATTTTAATTATAATAATATAATATTATAATAAACTAAAATTTATGACTTAATTTTCATTATAATAATTAAAAATACAAATTGGTGACAGATGAAATTGCATTATATTATGTGATGTTATGGGGCTCAAAAAAGTTAGAATGGCTTTATTACTTATACCAATAAATAAAATGAAATAATAAAGAGTAATAATTACTTTAATAATAAAAAAAAAAAAAAATAAATAAATAAATTAAAATAAAAATAAAATATCCAATAAAAGTACATATATCCATTTTTTTTAATTTTCCGGTAAGAAAATAACTAATGTCTAATTTAGAATTAATATTTAAAGCTGCAAAACATTCCAGGAATATTTACAGTTTATGTGAAAAAATAAAATGTCGATTTCGCCTATAGAGCAGTGCGTGATGGGAATACTCAGAATGGTATATGTACATTACTTTATACTGCAGTGATTGTCGCATTAGAGAGCGATGACTTATATAGTCTATGCCTGCCACGATTACCCATAGCTTGTAGTTGGGGCATAGGAAAAACCAAGTTTTCGTATGTCTTCATGAGAGACACTCACAAATTAACACAAGCTCGGAATGTATTGAGTGAAGTTGAATGTGAAGTCGAGAGCAAGCCACATTGAATGAGCGCGAAGGGATGGGTACAAGAGATTGCATTCCGAATGATTTCTGTCATTGTTGTCGTGTGTGAAGGGAAAAAGAAATTATCAAACTTCGTTTTGGCCTTTCGGCTAGTGACTGGACTCTCTAGGGCTTTGCCAAATTATTCGTTCCATTTTATGCTTTAGTCATTCTTACTCATTCTCACTGCAGACTGACCATTGCACTATGGGGAATTTTGCCGTTTTTCGGGTATTTAGTCATTTTTGCGAAGTATGAAAATTTATAATTTTTTTATGTTAACATCTTAATAAAACTCCAAACTTTAAGGTACTGTACCCAAAATGTTGAATAACAGTCCACTGTTAAGCCTAACAGCTGTTAAAGTCAGCTGTTATCTTCGAAAAGCATTTGCCTTCAGCTTACAATTTGTGTTAGCCGATTTTCAAATCATCGTTATTCAATGACCAGACATTATTTTTGAGAAATTTAAAAAGGATATGAATTTTTAGGGCTTCTACTATGCGTTGGCTTAAAAACCAATTGATGTTTGAACTTATTTTAATCATTTATTGTATAATTAGCAAATGTTGTCAAATTTCATTTCTTGTAAATAAAATTAAACTTTGCAAAGACATATAAAACAGCCACCAGGGCGCACCAGTGTAATTCCAATTGCATGTTATAGAGTAATCAATTGGGATCTTAGTGCCTTTGTCTTAATGTGCACTTTTGCAAATCAATTTTTAGCAGGTGACTACGACCTGACCTGTGTGATATTTGGCTCAATGACAACTCTAACCAAGAAACAGTAATTGTGATTTTTTCTTAAGGTGAAACTAAATAAGACTAATATTGATTCAACTTATTAATCATATTAAAAAAGCAAAAGCCGCTTTTTTTGCCAAAATATAAATTACAAATGGAAGAAATGCAGCAGGAACAAAAACTAGCTGACAACTATGAATGACTGCCTATGACAGCAAATGTTTATAAAACAATTGTTCAGTCGAGGAAGATTCATCCTGTAGGCATTTTTGGCAAAGAAGCGTCTGATTTGCACAACCAGGTCTATAAATCAGACAAATTTCATCACGAATGGAGGGATAGCAGAATCCATAATTTCGCTGGATGTAATAGAGCAATGGATACATCTGATCAGATTATTTCTTCGGCAAATCTTTAGAAAAGAGTTTGAAAGCATAAAGGTCGCTGTCTAATGAAGTTGTACGTATTGTATTATGTAAAGTTGAAGGCACAATTAAATCAGTTGAAGAACCCGAATTTTTTTAGCGGATCAATATTTCTGGCTGATTTGGAACTCGAAACTGAAGAAAACTAATTTCGATTTTATGAAAGTTCGATTGTTTTCAATTAAAATTATTATTTTAAAGTATTAACAAGCAAAATTCTTAAAAAAAAAAAAAAAATTTTAATACAAAATTTTAATTAATTTTTTTGGGTGGGCGGTGACACGCCCATTTTTCTAAAATATATTTCTGATGGTATACATATTAATAATACAAAAACCGGATCAAAAAATCTGGCTTAGTTTTTAAGTTATTAATTAATACCCGATAATTTGGATTTTTCCCCATAGTGCATTGGTCTGTCTGCCAATCTGTTGCTCAGCTAAGTGGAATCGTTGCCTTTAGGGATTTCTATGGCTAGAAGATTCCTTGGATTTTGGGCATGATATCGAGCGATACTCAGATCATATACATATAATTATATATCAGATATATTACATAATAAGAATGTATTATAAATAAATAAATATAATTTCATCACATACTTATAATGCTTGACTTACCTCAAAGCTGACTATGCCGCTATGATCCTGATCCAGGGTATTAAATACATAATGTGCGTATAATGTTGGATTCGCTGTAGTTGTTGTTTGTATATAGTTTTTATTTTAATTTTGTTTTTCAGAACGAGAAAAAGAAGAGAAGAAACGAAAGACTGTGTTAAAAGTGAGTGAACAGCGGTTAAAAGCCAAGACGTGTATGTCTAGGACTTTAGGACTTTGACTTTTAAGTAGAAAACTTTTGAATACATATATGTGCTTAGAGTAACTCTCAACTCTACATATACATAAATACAGATACGCAACACACATACACACATACACTTATGCACTCCCACATAGGCGTGTCCGATAGACAAGCGATTACTTTACCACATGCCACGTCATCGATAAACTATGCGCAAAGAACTATGTTGTGTTGTGTTGTGTGGATGTGGTTGATGTTAAATGGAAATGAAAATGAAAATGAAAATGGGAATGTGAATGGGAATGGGAATGCAAAAAGTGAAAAGTTAAAGTGAAAAAGCAAAGTCTTCTGTTGTGCATTAAGTTCAGTTTGAGTTGCCCAGCATCAAGATGGAAATGCTGTCGTGTCATTGTTGGGTCGCAAACTTTTATGGGGGCCTGTCCGACCCTGTTGTCGTCCTTCAATGAACACGGCCGGTACTTGTGTCGCTCTCAAAATAAATGTGAGCGAGCAACGAGCGTGGGCAAAATGTTGCAACAAAACTTTCGTTTTGTCAGCCGCAAAGTTTTTGTTGCTTCTCGAAAAAGTCAACATGGCCCCAAACGCGACTTGCGACTCTCTAAGACAAGCCCCAGCCCCAACGCTATCTAAATACCAAAAAGAATAAAAACAAAAACTGTTCTCAGCTAATTATGTGTGCGGGTGTGCGTATGCGGGCGTGTGAGTGTGCAGATAAGTTGTCAAATGCTTAGCAAATTATGCTGCATGTGTGTCAAGCACCCTGCATGCGATGCGTATGCAGAGAGTGTATGCTCGACGTGGGGGAAAGCTATGTAACGCTAATTGGATGACTAGCTGGCTGCCTGATTGAGTCAATGACAGATTCGATGAGAGAATTACTATCTGATTGACTGACTGATGGACTGATTTACTAACTGATTGACTGAATGATTGTTTTGCTTACTGACTGACTGATTGATTGGCTTACGGACTGACAGATTGCCGGATTGACCGAGTGAGTGACATACTGAGTGCTGAATAACTGATTATCTGAATGATTGACTGATTGACTGACTAACTGATTGACTTACTAACTGACTGATTGGCTGAATAGCTGATTATCTTATTGATTGACTGACTGATTGACTTACTGACTGACTGACTGATTACTGACTGGCTCACTGATTGACTGAGTAACTGATTGCCTGATTGACTGATCTACTGGAGTGACTGACTGAGTGGCTCATTGATTGATCGCTGACTGACTGACTGAAAGACTGATTGATTGCCTGAGAGCTTGGTTGATTGACTGATTGGTACAAACAGTTTCATCTGTACCAATAAAGTGTTTCACTTGACAGTGTGCACTATAAGGAAAGTAGATGTAGCATAATACTTATATAACTTTTCTATACAAATACAATAAGACAAAATACAATTACAATTGAATTGTTACATTAACCTTAGCTCCCAGGTAGTTTCCATTTGGGTTAGTTTACCTAGAAATATTGTATATAACTATGAATTGCACTATTCCAGCTTCAGATTCAGGCACTAAAAGTTGTTGTGTACATTCTAATAGTTTCACTTATCTATAGGGTATCAAACAGTCTCCCACGCTCAGCTCAGTTCAGCACAGTTAAATGCTCGAGGCACACTCCGACTTCAGTTTTACTGCCTGCGCGAGAGGCGTGGCGTGACGAGGCGCAACCACCGGCGGGCATTTGGTGCAAATGCCCTTATCTGGCCATCACATTACATTTAGATTATTGCCGAGCAGCCGCTCATTTGTACTGGGTATTTTTATGATTATGGCATGATGCCTTGTGGTTGTTCCAGTTCCAGTTCCAGTTTCAGTTTCAGTTTCAGCTTCGGTTCCGGTTCCACTGCAGCTGCAACTCTCCAGTGCGAATCGTGCGCTTTATGGGCGCACAATGTTTACACCTCTTTTCGAGTGGTCACAGCACAGAGAAATGCAGTTCATAAAATGGCTACCACGCTGCCACGCCCAGCGTTTTGGGCGGAATGTGTGGCAAAGAGCAATTTTATTGATGTGCGCTTGCCCTATGTGCTTTAGCGCCTTTATGTTGGTCCGAAAAGTGGACTGGAGACAGAGGGATTTAGTGACTGGGGATTGGGGATTGGAGAGAGGCGAGAGCGAGTGCTGCTCCAAAAAAAAAAAATGTATTTGTCAAAGTTTATTGTCGCCGTTTGATACTTAATGTGTTTTTATGACGCATGACGCACTGGCACGCCCACTACGCCCACCCCGCACATCAAGGTCAAAGCTCAAAGGCAACGACAGCAGCTGCTGCTTTTGTGGCTGTCGAGAACGTTTTTCCTTTAGCCAAATCAAAATGACTGCAAATGTGTCATGTAAAAATTGTTATGAAATTTGCGCTGAAAATTCGCAACACGCTGAGCTGAGGAAAAGCACATGGAAAACAACGGGAAACGCATGAAGCGGCACGGACCAAGCCACAGTCAGTTGCCTCTGTGTGTGTGTGTGTGTGTGTGTGGGGCAGCTGCAGCTGGAGCTGGGAGCAAAAGTGATAAATCACCAACTTTGATGATAATTTTTTGTTTTTTTTTCTTCTCTTGACTGCTGCTGCTGCTTCTTTCAATTTTTTGTTGTTGTTCTTGTTGTTTTTTTTTTTTTTTTTTGGCTGAACTGTCGCCTCGTATTAGGCACATCGTGTTGGCTCCGGCGGAGTTTGGCGGAGTGGCAAAGCGGCTTATCAAAATAAAAAATGATTTCATTATTTATTTTTCATCAGATAGCTAAGGCGCAGCATATCTCGTGTTCACTCCCGCTTTTCGTTTATTTTTTACAAGCATTTCCGCCTGTCGCGCTGTCGATGCTTGTTGTGTCAGCTTACCGCTAGTCCCACCCCCTCAGCATCCATCAGCCACGTCCTACGCCCCACACCCTTATCGACCGTCCCACCTCCACCTGCTTCACCAACGCCTTAAGCTTTCGCTGCCATCTCAAGGCCATTACCATGTTCCATACTTGTTTTTTCTTGTCTGTGCTGCTGCCCGCACTCCCTTTCCCGCTCACTCTCAAAGGGAAAGCCGAATAAGTTTATTATAATAATTTAGTGCGAAACATGTGTAGCAATATTTCTTTGCTTCGTTTTTTTTTTTTCTCTTTTTTTTTTTTTTTTTTTTTTTTTTTTGTGACCAGAGGGGATTGCGCCATGACATTGGTCGTCTCACTGCAGACAGCAGCAAAAGCAGCACAAAAAATGATGAAGAAGAAGAAGAAGCTACACAATCATGGATTTTAAGTAGAATTTATTAGGAGCCGTCGGTGTAGACATGCAAGCGAGCATAGCTCTAGGAGCTGGCAGGCATCGTGATTCATAGTTTTCCTTTTCTTTTTACAGACTTTCAAATCTGCTGGGTAACTGAGCACATGTTGCAGTTGAGTCGGGCTAACAAATTGTAATTAGTTTTTCTTTAAACTAACTGGGCAAGTTTTGTTTATGTAGAAAGTAGAGAAATTAACGGGTTTTTATTTTCCTAGATTTTTTTAAATATTTATTTTTTCAATGAGCTTAAAGTCCACGCAATGCAAATGTACCACAAACACGGATATTGAATTCCTCTAGGCTTGTTAATGATATCGTAAGATAATGATATTATAAAGCTAAAGAGATGAGAGAGAGAGAGAGAGGCTGGAAGCTATTTTTCTATTTCATACTAGATTTAAGACAGCCGTCTTCTAAGTATAACCGACTCCATAGCCATAACAGTCGGATAACAGCCGCATAACAGACGCATAACAGTTAACTATCTTGAAAAGCATACGAACTATGAGCTAGCTTTGTGTAAGTGTTTATAGACCAAAAGGCCTATGTAATATCAAATTTGCTATATGTAGTATAACTCACTCCGTTTGAATATTCCAAACAGCTTCAAGACTGTTACAGCTTTAAATCTTTTGCCCTGCTTAGGAGCAGGCGAAAAGCCTTGGGACTTTTCAGCTCAACTGTGATATTATAATATATAAGCTACACTTAACTTCACTCCATTTGTATATCCCTCACAACTTCAACATCTTTAAAGCTTTAATTTTCATCTCTTGAGTTTGTCTAGGGTCTTTTCTCGTGGCAGCCCAAATGCATGAAATAATCTAGCACTTATAAGTCTTCAGTTTACTGCGTTCCCCTTGTATATCCCGCACATTTTCAACGACTTTAAAGCCTTAACTTTCGGCTCTTCAGCTTTCATCTCTTCAACAAAATATTGTACATCTGTCAAGGGTTAAGCCATAGCCATGATGTTTGCTCATTAATGGGGGCGTGGGCCTTTTGTCAATCAGTCAGTCAGTGGGCATAGTCAGTACGCTAGTTAGTTTGTTTGGTGTCCAGCAGCTCATTAGCCACGCCTCGAATTGACGCGGTGCGGCCAGAAATGGTTTTTGTGGCCAAGGCTTCAATTTATGTTTTAGCAGCCGGCGCGCTACAAAGTAAATGAGCAAATTTACTTGTTATTCAAAAGAGGTCAAGTGGGTGGATTGGGTTAAACTTGAATGGGGCTGCTGCCTTGGCCGGCGCTGGCAGCCACCGCCCAGGCCAAAGCCCAGATCCTGGCTCGGGCTGTGGCCCAGGCTGAGAAGGCTACGGCTCCCTTAACCCTACCCAGTCGCGACTTGTGAAACATGATTTTGCTTTTTATACATTTGCTAATTTGCGCTCTCAACATTTCAGTTTTCACAAGCCAAGGGTGCGCGCTTGACTACGCTGCGACTAGGCTAGAGGTGGGACGCGTAGCTTTTGGGGCTGGCAAATGTACAGCGGGACGGCGTGAGGCGGTGCGGTGCGGTGCGGTGTGGTGCGTGTGCATAACTGGTTTTTGTGGGACGGATGCCCACGCCCCGCTCATGCTCATCATCTCGTGTGCATCAACATATACGTAAATGCTTACCCCATTTGGACGCGGGGCCAGCCTTTGTTTTGCCTCCGGCACAAAAGAGCCAATATTAACGATAATCCGAGTCCGAGTCCGAGTGCGAGTCCGCATGCCGGCTGTCCAGGCACAGACAAACGGACAGCACAGGCAGGCGAATAGGCCAGCCTCAAATGCCGATAAAACCGGCAATGGCAATGGCAGCGGCAATTGGCAGTAGCATCCATTCATGGCTGCCATTCGGCCAATTGCTGGCCTCATTTGAATGCGGGCCAGCCGAACCCATTGGCCCGATAATAGATAACAATAAGAATCAAGTGAGCCAATTGCCAAATTTATGGCTCAGTCCGAGCACTAATGGCCATGTCAAGGGTCTTGCTTCGCCCAGTTTGGCATTCAAAACAGATCACGATTTTTGTTCATTCTGAAAGCCTGTTTGCCCAACGACTTCAGTGAAGTATCGATGTGGATTACGAAGAGCATATGATTTTCAGTGCATGCATGACACAGAGAGAGAGAGAGAGGGAATGATGTGTGTGTGTGTGTCTGTGTGGAGTGCCTGACTAGCAAGTCCTAGTTCTGAAGCTAATGCTCTCCGAGACCATTATCAACTATCGATTAGTTTATGGTTACTATCGATCGTTATTATCGACATTTGCCCATAGTGCTATCCCTTCAATTACTATTGGCCTACTACATTTATTTTATTTATTTAATTTATGTTTTTATATTTAAAAAATTTGTTTGAAGTGCAATATTATGATGACACTGTAACGGCATATATGCTCAAGCTCAAATTTATACTCTCTTTAATAAGGCTCGAGTATGGGCATGAGTCGAGAGATCTGAAATCATTGATTAAATATAGTCTATGTCGCTTCTACGGTATTTTAGACAAGATAAAATATTTATTATATATTAATAATTGGATAATAAAACGAAAGCTTGTGTTCCTCAAAGTCTCAAAATTTTCAGGAAAAAACTGTTCGATTTAAAAATAAACGGGCATGGCTAGACAGACTCTTTGGCATATTTTTATTGAATGGTGTCAGTCAGTAATACCCTGCGTTTTATACACATTTAAGCAAAAAAGATATCTTAATAATCGTCTAATTATTCTTTTTTTTTTTTTTTTTTGTATCAAGAAAAAATTAGCTGAACTGAATTAAGTCCGGGTATTTCGCAGTCAGTGTGTCAGCCTCTTGTCTGCCAGTTGAATGGATGTATTGATGTTTATCAAATATTTTCTAATAGAATTTCCAGCATTATCAAACACACAAACATACACATTTAAGAATAACTTAGAGCAAAAACTCTTAACATATATAACCATATACATACATATAAACACATATACATATACATATAAATATCAAAATGGATTTATTTATAAAATTTCAAAGTTTTCAGATTCTCAATTGGATGGCGAGTTGAGCGTGATTCGCAAGCTGCCAGATGCAAGATTAAGGCACACTGAGCTACAAGCAAAAATGCAATTGACCAATGTTTCGTCTAATAATAATAATGCTTGGAATGATGAAAACATAAATGGGCAGGCGTTAGTAATGCACTAGTTCAAGTCACAAATGTTAACGAAACAAATTATACTGTACCGCACGAACCTCCCTGTGGAAAGAACTGCGAATAGATCACTTTGAAGGTATCCTCCTTGACCACGCCCGTGGGGCACTCAGCCTTAAAACCCCGATAAATTCGTTTGATCTCGTCCTCTGTGAAGCGGGTGGCCCGGCTCAGGGCGCTCAGTGAGTCTGGTCTGTAGCGCGCCGGCGTCTCAAATTCTTCTAGTTCGGAATCTGGAAATTCGATCGATGGACCACAAAGCACATAGAATAAAACGGTAAGTGAGAAAAGAGAAAAAAGTGATAGCAATGCATGAGTGAATTGTTCTTTTTTTATTTTTTTTTATTTTTTTTTTTTTATCAAGCAAAAGCTGTGGAATATTAATTATAATATCAAAAAATTGTTAAGCTACAAGCCATGAAATTAAATAAACATTTCTTTTGTGAACAGAACTGGGGCACAGTTTTAGGAATTGAACAAGTTGAAGGGGAATGCAGAGAGAGAGAGAGAGCGAGAGAGAGAGAGAGAGAAAGAGAGAGAGAGATAAGGAGAGAGATAGACTCGGTATAATCTTAGAGATGCATCGAGTTGAAGCTCTGAGAAATTTCGAAGCTATAATTTCGATTTGTCATTCTCCGAGTTATGTATTGACTGACTCCGGTTAAAATGGAGCTTTAGCTGCTTATAAGACTCAACTACTTATATGAGTTTGTAAGGCACCTCATTTTTTTTATAAATTATTCTCTGATCACCTTAACTTCTTATTATATATCATTATCGTATTTCACCTGCGCTATTGATCCTTATTAGGATTTCAATAAAGTTTATATAGACATTTGAGAATTGGAGCCTTTCTTTTTCAGAGCCCCTTCTCTGCTCTCTCACTCAAAAAGACAGTTCCTTGCGCCTTTTCCTTGTATCAGACATATAGCTCTCTTTATCTATATCACCCAGAGTCTCTTCTACTCTTTCTCATATAATCGAACCTAATCTGATTTTCTCTCAGTGTTTGCTTTTTTTTATATAATTTCAAAAATCAAATTTTAGCTCTAAATAAATCACAAATTTTGTTTTTATGTTTTTCGAAAACAGCTTCCTTTCTTCGCTCTTTCTTAGAAATACAGTCCACGTTTTGCTTCATCCCGGTTTTTCTCAGAAATACATTGAGACGTTTTTTGGCTTTTTCCCTTTAATTGCTCTCTCTCTATCCCTCTCCCTCTCCCTCTCACTCGCTCCAACTTTCTAAGCAACGTAAACTTTTTCCATTTGTTGCTTCTTAGAAAGAAACCCTTTCCTTTCCGCATCCGTCCCTTCTTTTTCCCATCTCCGTCCATATTAATAGCTTCAATCTCTCATCTGCTTTAATACATTATGCCTATCCACATCTACCCAATACCCACACTTGCAGTAAGTACTAATAAATCACAAATTTTGCTTAAATTGAAGCATGCCTGATAAAAGATAAAAACCCAAAAAATTTAGAAGAAAGAAGTTCAAGCAGTCGCGTGTCAGCTTTTGTCAGCTGCCCAAATTTGTGCATTTTTGTGTGAAATTCGTGTCATTAGCCGGAGGTAGATTTCGTGAGGTATTTTCTTATCAGTGTACGTCTGTCGTAGTATGTCTTGCTGACTACCTGGCAGCTCGTTTGCCTAAGACACCAACACACACACACACACACATACAGACTTCTATGTGGCGTGTAGAAGTTGGCGAGATTTTGATCTTTTGAGTCGCTTCTAGCGCTGAATTGACTTGCAACTTCCTTAAGTACTTGGCCTGTCGCAGCGCGAAACTTTTTCAGGCTTTTCATGTAGTTTTTTTTTCTCTCTTCTTCTTTGATATTTAGACTCTGTTTGCATGGCAAAGAATCTGCAACTTTTGAGCTAGAGGGCGAGAGAGGGAGTGACTTTGCTCCAAAGGCAAGGTAAATGCCCCTTTTTGACTTTTTGCTAACAAACAAAACAAAAAAAAAAAGTCTTTGTGGCTGCTGTGTGGAGCCTCAATTTTGGTTAATTAAAAGTTTTGCACAGCTCATAAGTACACCGACAGCAGCTGCAGGCAACCATGTGTGTGTGTGTGTGTGTGTGTGTGTATGTGTGTGTGGGAGTATGCCTAAAAACAGGCAACACTTTTCACGCGCTTGACAAATGGCTGTTTAAAAATGCATGAAACATGCGCTGCGACTGAATTGTGGCAGACAGCCGGAAGGCCGGAAGGCGTTGGCCAAAAAGAAACAGTAGAAGAGTCAGAGGTGGAGGTGGAGGTGGAGACCGAGTAGGCGACGGCGTTGGCAAATGCAGATGAGTTTGGCCGGGCAGGGGCAGGCGGTGCAGCACATCAACTATTTGTTAGCTACGCCCATATTTAGCACAAACAAACGACGCGACGCGACGCGACGCGAATGCGCCGAGCTCAGTTTAACTGCCTGAAGTTAGACTTGCATGGGTATCTGGAATGCAAGCATATATTCTCTCTCTCTCTCCCTCCATATTGCTATATGTATATGCACAAAGAGATTGGGCAATTTGCCATGCATATTGAAATATATTTATATGTGTGTACATATATTGAAGGCAGCTCTTAAAACCAGCTCATACTGAATCAAAAATTTCAATCTCAACAGCATTTTCAATATGTATATATGTATATGTGTATATAAAATACAAAAAAAGTTATTAGCTTGCCGGGTATTTGGCCGTGTGCTATGCTCACTCAAATGTTTTTAATTTGTATATGCCCGTTGGCATAACACACACACACGCACACACACACATGCATATGCATATGCAAAGTCTTTGTTTAATATGCATTTTCTTTTCCATTTTTTTGGCAGAGAATGGCCATATATATATTTGTATATATATGGCAAATATTTAAATGACTCCCAGCTGCAAATTGTGGGCCCATATTGGAAAATCTGCGATAATTATTGAGAATCAAAAAGTGCTCGAGGTGTGATGAATGAGAGAGAGAGACAGAGAGAAAGAGAGAGATTGCTCAGTAGAGATAGAGAGAGAGAGAGAGAAGAGAGAGAGACAGAGAGAGAAAGACAGAGTGAGAGAGAGAAATAAATATAGAGAAAGTGAGAGAGAGAGAGAGATAGTCAACTCAGTTTCTATGAAGTGAAGATTGGATTGGGTAGATTGATTCAAGTCACTGTCTTAATCAAGAATATATAAGCCTTATAGACTCAACAAAGTCTTCTACTGCCTGTTACATACATTTCCCCACAGCCAGTATACCTCCTGAGATACCATTTGCCATGGGTTCAGCTTATAAGAACTATGGCTGCCATTGGCCCAGCTTGAATGGAAATCATATTTTATTATGCTTTATACAAACATATATATAGAACTATGATTCATATTAAATGGCATCATCTAAGGCATGTTAAGTGCTCAGTGCTCAATCTCTAAAGCTCTTAAGATTTTACTTAGAATTTTACCTATTGTTCATTCTTTCTGTCCTAAAATTATTCATTCGATAGTTGTATAATGCTACAGTTACTCTTAGTTGTAATTGTATTCATCTCTTACTTAATTTACACAAATCATCCTTATGATTCGCAGCTGCTTATGCTGTGAGACCCGAAGCTGAGCGAAGCATTTACTTCATATCTTACACAAGTTTATAATATAATATGAAACCCAAGAGTTTGAAGCTAAGGCTCTAAACTCTAATTAAGTTTTATTTCTCTGCAAAAACTCATAGTGAAACTCATAGTAAGCTCAATAAAATTGTTGAGCATGAAGAAAAAGCCATTTCACTATTCCAAGCGCTAAACTAAAATAAAAGAGTTGAGCATAAGGAATAGTGCAATACTCTATTCTAAAGCTCTAACGCTATATAAAAGTCGAGTCTAAGGATTCGACCTTATTCCCAGTTGCTTAGCTCTCAGCCGAGTACTACAGATTACTCTGTCTATGATATTGGTATGGAAATTTAAGTATATATATATACCTATGTATATACATTATTTTTGCTGATATATTTGGACTGAATTACCTGCCTGTCGCAGCCAGAGTTTAGAGTTTAGAGCTGTCGCTGCATATGAAATGCAATTTTTATTGTTGCTGCTCTTGTTGAGCTGCTCTGGCTCTGGTTCGTTATGCGACCTGCATTAAATTCGTGGCCAGTGCTGTTGCACTCGAGCGCACTCAGACTCGGGGAATTTTGATAGCTGCTCATCTCTTAGCTGCCATTTGCCAGCTGGCAGTTGTAGTCCGAGTTGACGAAATGCATTAATTTGAATATATATTCATGTGGCGTTTGTGTTTAGCTACGAATTTTAGTTGCCACTTGCCCCAGCTGACACTCACACACACACGCGCAAATATTTTTGTGTGTGTGTGTGCGTGTGTGGCTGTGTTTTATTATCAGTTGGCAAACAAAAAGCAGCCAAAAATATTCACACAAAATGTCTAAATTATTTGCGAGCATAACAAAGCTATTTGTGCGACCTCGGCCTCAGTCAGAGAGCAGTCAGACATTTGGAGGTTGCGGTCTGCAGCTGTGCTTTGGGGCTGTTGCTGGCTGATTGGTAGAGGGAGGGGGAGGTGGAGGGGCAGGGTATAAGAGTACGCAGCCAGACTTGGAGTCTCGCAATGCCCAAAGGCAGGCCACACTTTTGCTGTTTATTTTTGTTTTCATTTCACTGCTGCTGCTGCAACGCCTTCTGCTCCTGCTGCTGCTGCTGTTACTCCTGCTGAGGTCAAGGTGTGAAGAACGTGAATTGCGACGCCAATGCAAACAGGCCGCTCATTTGCGTGTGCCATGGCGCACGTTGACACATTAGCTGTGGGCGGCCACATGCCACGCCCTACCGTGGGCGAGCCGGCAATAGAGCGTGGTCAGTGGCAATTGCCAGCCATAACAATATACATAAATGCCGAGCGTGAGTGGAGCTTGAAGCTGCCGCCAGCTGCGCTCCTGTTGTCATTGTAATTGCAGATAACGCAACAAGCAAACAGAGCGGGAGAGCGGCTGAGCGAGAGGGGGAGAGTGGGGGAGAGTGGGATAGACATGTATGTATGTGCGGCCCTTGCAGCTTGCAGTTTTGCATGCGCTCGCATAATAAGTTCCTGTTTATCTCGACTCGGTTTGTTTGTCTGTTTGTTTGCTGCATTGCTGCGGCTTGCAGGTTGCATGTGTGAGTGACTGTGTGTGTGTGTATGTGTGTGTGTGTGTGTGTGTGGCTGCGCAGGTGCCATGTTTCCGTTTCCGCTGCAGCAGT